AGATTTGAATTAGCTGACGAAGAACTTCAGAACATCGCCATGTCAGATAGAATGAGCTGGACTAAGGCCAGGACTTACAGCTGAAAAAGTCTTACCTTATTGCAACAGGATGCAAATGCAGGAAAGGGAGATCTGAACATTAATAAGGAACAGACCAAGGATAAAGTCAAATCCAACAGGGATGAAGTCCAAATGGATTTAAGAGAGATTTATCAATGAGAGTCATGACATGGTGCCTAACAATGCTTCTTGATATGGATCTTGAGGTTATTTTTCCTTCCCCATGAACCTTGTATTAGCAATCTTGCCCTGAGCAGGGAGCTGGATTACGTGACTCCTGAGATCCTTTCAACTCTATGATTCCATGAACAATATGGTTATGATTGGCTTTTATGTGTCTTTATAGGGAGGAAAAGTAGAAGTCAACCAACTGGCTTGGTCTGCCATATTGGATCTGCGTCCAGCATTCGTACCAATTCATCAAATTGTAAACCACCAGCAGAACATGCTGAATCACCCTTATGGTTTTTTTGTGAGCCCACTGTTGGTTGGGTTTGCATGCCCCACTAAGCCTCAGTGCACTTAGTTTTCAGCTCAGCACATTGTGTGACTGGTGATGGTGAAGTGTAGTGAACGAGCGAACCACTTTTTTAGAGCAGTAAAGCAATCTGAAATCCATCTTTGCTGTCCGCTTCCCATCTGGAATGCTGTTTGACCGTGCTGTGCAGAAGTACGGATAGCGGCTTCCTAACTTATTCCTGTGTTCTAATGTCCCAACGGAGCCTCTAACCATACCACAGAAGAGCAAGGTGCAAAGGCCAAAAATGGAGGAAGGGAAGCAAAGCAAGAAATGCCCCTACCCACTAGGCTTCTTCTGCTTGTCTGCAATACCAATTCTGGGTTGTTTCCTGCTTGTCTGAGAAACCGCAGGAAAAATCATCTTTCACCTGTTTGTGAGCACAACCCTTGTTCATTGCGCTGACAATTGCCTTGGTGATGTTCATCCAGGAATGGCCAGGCCCTTCTACCAGAGCATCAGCTGACAAACACATCATCCAATATCACCGGCTTCAGTAAACAGCCGTGTAACCTTTCATAATTCTGACTGCTGGAGCACCTGCCTGACTAAAATTTCTCACTTATGTTCTTGGCCAAGAAAAGAGATGCCTATTTATAGTGCTTATAATTAAAAAAAAAAAAAAAAGCCCATGTACCTTACCATGGCAACCACAGTGTCCATGTGCTACCTAAGAGACAAAAAGCTTTGCCATGTAGGAAACACACACACATACACACACACACACACTGAGTATCAGTTCTTGCTTTTGGAACACCTTGTTTACCAGTTTCTAAATATCCCTTCTCTTCTTATTAATCAGTGCCCCTTATTTATCTATTCTTGTTCTCTGTGGCAAGCCTTTACCTCTTTAAGCACATACCAAAAAATTCTCATTCAGTTTGGGGAAAAGGCATTGGCTTGGAAACGTCCCCCCCCCCCAAGAATGTTGGTGAAATTCTCAGAAAGGAATCTGGCATCTCTGCACTGATTTCATGATGAAGTGGACAAGGTTTGTGCGATTATAATGTCTTTCACTATGTAATCCTCTCCATACAACATTAAGGTATCTTCTCTTTTCTACCTCTTTTCCTCCACATTTCTCTTTTTCCATGTATAAATCAGTGGCCAGGAATAGTTGAACAATACCATCATCAGAGACTAGAGGCCAGGGAGAATACAGATTTTTTTCCCTCAGCATTCCCTTAAAACAGAGTAAGATTAGAACGAGCTTCCTCCCTAGGTGGAACATGTTCCACCAAGCCTCTTGCGCTGGTTGACACATCTTTGGAGGGTATGACATACTCAAGAAGGTCTCCACTGATGATCAGAAGAGTCGGGCCAATTTATATTGAAGATAGCCCAAGTTGTTGATAGCTTTACAGATTGGAACCAAAACTTTGAGCTTGTTTTGGTAGCAGGATGGCAATCTTCTCCCCAAGCATTATTTACAGGAGAAGACAATCTCTCCTGGCACCCATCTTTTAGAAAGGCACCATCAGCAATGGCTTTGTGTGTATGTCAGAGAATAAAAGACGTACCCCCATTTGTATCCTATCTTGTTGGAAAAAGTGGGAACAAGCAAAGCCTTCTGACCAAGAGGGACATGCATGGAAGACAGAACTGTGTTTTAGCGATGATGGCACTGTTTCAAAAATATCAGAGAGATCTCAGCTGTGATTTCCTGAGTGACCACTGCCAGTAGATCTGCATTCTAACCCCAGCAAGAGAGTGGCTGTTATCCATCATAGCAGAATTCTGGGACTTCCATGGGTCCACGGGAAAGCAGCAGCTTATTAGGATGTGGGACAGATCACTTAGGCTAATGTCCAAAGAGAGTCCTTATTGTATTGAGAAAGCAGAGCTAAGGCAAGATACGGATCAGTGTTATCGAGGGGGGAGGCTGAAAACCTGGGGGAGAAGAGCAATCTAAGGACCAAGAGAGGTGAAAGGGAAAGAATGTGAAGGACAATCCAGAGGAATATTCAGTAACATGAAAACATTTCTAGGGCATCTGTTTTCTTTCTGCATGGATGTTATTTTCTGTGCCTTGCCCGCTTTACTTTCCCAAACATATTCCCCCCAGGTCTAGGAGAAACCATCCCAAGCAAGCTTTCAGGATAAAGATCATAAAATATCTGAGTAAAATCTGTAAGACCGTACGTCCTAATTTCATCAGCCTCTCCCATTGTACTACATAAAGAGGGATTACAGTGGGGCCAGATTTAATTTTCAAATCAAAATCAAATGTTGCTTAAAATCTTGAGGTTGAGTGCGGGTTGTTCTTGCACGGAAGTATTTAGAAGGAGTCCTTATGGCACACAGTCTAACTCTACTCAGTGCAGGAATCTAAATTGAAGTAAGAGGTGACTGAGCTACTAGAAATGTTTTTCTGGGGTGCGTATGTGTTAATGCTTAGGAAATTGAGGGTCATTAAAATGGGGGCTTCCTCCCTCCCTCCCTCATTTTTATACTATTGTAAGCCACTCAGAGCCTTTGGAGAATTGAGTGGTATATAAATGGCAGAGATAAATAAATAGAAGCAAATAATAATTTTGGAGCACTGCTCTGTGTGTGTGTGTGTGTGTGTGTTTGTGTGTGTGTTAATCTCCCTTATTAAGAGCAAATCAATAAATAACATTGCAGAGTCTACACTGACGTTGTCAAGAAAAAATATGGACTAGGCCATGTTCCAGACCTTTTGCCGGTCTCCCCCATGTTTTTTCAGCATCATTTTGGCCTCCAGCTTCCATTTTGTAGTTAGGGGTTTTAAGTTTCCTCCCCTTAAAACCTCCATTGCATATTCCGACAGCAGACATTAACAAAAGAGAACCACACAATCCTGGTTGCCAAGAGAATTTGAAAACATGTATATCTACCAAGGCAATATCGTAGCTGTTCCTTTCTCCCAAAACACCCCTCACAAATAACTCATTAGGGAGGGGGACCACAAAGACAAGCCCACCTGTTAAGGCTCGCAACCTGCAGGTTGCCACAGGCCATTATGGGAGGTGAGGCTCGGGGGGAGGTGGAATAAACTCATGCCAAGTGAGGTTTGCTGTTTTATCAGCTATTCTTTTGTGGCACTGAAGGGTGTGGATGGATTTGGCTTCACTTCTGCATTCTTTAATCCTGCAGAAGTCTTGTAAAACTAACACATCTTTTATGATCATTTAAATTTTAAAAATAGCCCCAACACAAAAGGAAATATGAACAGTTGTGGATTA